CCCCCCCCCCCCCCCCCCCCCCCCCCCCCCCCCCCCCCCCCCCCCCCCCCCCCCCCCCCCCCCCCCCCCTCACCTCTCCCGCGGTCCGGCGCGCGCGCTCCTCGCGGTTCTCCCCCCCCCGCCCCGGCCTCGCGCCGGAACTTCCGCCCGCGCGAGGCGAGGTGACGTCAAGCGGCGGATACAGCGACAAGGCAGACGCCGCGGCGGCCATGATGGAACCGGGCACCGAGAACCGGGCACCGAGGGACACATCTCCCCCTCCCCGACAGCCGCACACACGGACAGCGCTCAGCTCTGCACACCTCAGCCTCTTTATTGCCCGCCACGGCCCGGCCCGCGGGCCGCGCCCGTCCCGACACGCGGGGCCACATCCCGTGTCCCGGGAGCTGCCCCGGTGTCCCCGGGAACCCCCGTCCCCAGCCCTCAGGAGATGAAGTGCGTCTGAGGCGTGATCTGCTCCAGCTTGTGGTCGGCGGGGTTCGCGGAGGCCTCGTAGTTGCAGATGGTGACCTCGTGGCGGTGAGCCTGGGGTGGAGATCGGGGGTGTCACATCCCGGGGGGGGCGAGATTGGGGGATCCCAACCCCCCCACACCGCTCCCGGCTCTGTCCCACCACCAGGATTTGACCAAATCAATGATTTCAAGCCCTTCGCAGCCCCTTGGTCCCTCTCTGCCCCCACTCACCTCCGCCCACTCCCCCTTCAGGCCGATGTAAAAGATCTTCGTTGTCTCCGCCCCGAAGTTCTTCGGGAAGTGCATGGAGAGGTGGTAAAGGTTGGAGAAACGGGCAATTCTGGAAGGAAACACGCCCTGAGGCCGGAGCTGCCCCTGCAGCTCCCTCTGATCCCACTCGGACTGGGGATCAAACATCTGAGGGGCAGGAGGAGCTGTTCCCTCACACCTGTGGGTCAGCAACGAGCTGACAGGGACATGGGACAGGACACAGGACACCAGGGTGATTCTGCACCCCGAGTGATGCCTTGAAATCTATATTAAATGGATTTTAGCACAGCCTGCTAGTACCTTTGTACAAAATTCCTAAAAATAGCCTTTTAACATTCCTTGTTAAGAATTTAAGGTAAAACATAGATTTTTAAGGCATCACAAGAAGCCCTGGGGCGCTGGAACTGCCACCCCCAGGCTCCAGGGGAGGAGGTTTCAGGCCAGAGCTCCCACCTGGCAAAGGGCAGGACGGAGGTGGGGAGGCAAATTCTGCCCTGGGCTGACGCTGCCCTAAATTTGGCAGCACGTGGGCAAGCTGGACCGAGCTCCTGTGGCAGGGGAGGAGCAGCCCCCAGCCCCCCAGGGGGTGTCTCTCACTTGGTGGGATACTCCAGCTCGCCCAGGGGGTCCCGGTTCAGGCTGAAGGTCTGCTCTGCTTCCCTGGCCGTGTCATCAAAGGACATGTGAGGAATGTTCCTGAACCTGGGGAAACAGGAAGGGAACCCGGGGAGTTGTTAACAGCAGGGCAGGTAATTGTTTTCCTCCCTGTCCATTAGCACTGCCCACATTCTTCTCCACAAGAAGCTGGATTGGCTTTGTCTTCTCACAGCCCCACAGAGCAGGAACTGCAGAGCAAGGGGGCTCAGCTCAGCTCAGCCCCAGGAAGGTGAAAAGCTGGTTTCACTCACAGCCTCAGCTCCGCCGGGTGCGTCCCGTCGTCCTCCCCCATCACAAGGACTCCTTTTAACTTCACGCTGCCCGTGAACCTGCCCAGACACACAGAGCAGGGGCTGCACCTTCAGCCTCTCCAAAATCAGCCTCTGTGAGAGGGGCAGGCACTGTGCCTCGTCCCCAGGGGAGGTGGAACTTACGGGATGTTGAACAGCAGCTCCTCGTCATCATCGCTTTCCACGAACTGGGGAGAGGAGGAGGAGCAGGTCAGGACTGGTGGGGCTGGTGGGGGGAGCAGGGGGGTCACCCCAGAGGGCCTCAGGGACACAGCAGCACCTCCCTCACAGAGTATTTTGGGTGGGAAGGGGCCTCTGGAGATCACCCAGTCCAACCCCCCTGCCCAGGCAGGGTCACCTGGAGCAGGTGACACAGGGATGTGTCCAGGGGGGTCTGGGATGTCTCCAGAGACTCCAGGCCCTCTCTGGGCAGCTGTTCCAGGCCCTGCCACCTCCACAGAAAAAAGTTCTGCCTCATGCTGAGGTGGAACCTGCTGTGTTTTAGTTTATGGCCATTGCTCCTTGTCCTGTCGCTGAACAGAGTCTGGGACCATCCTCTGACACCCCCTGGAGATGTCTGTGTGGATTGATGAGATATTTGTGCGGATTTATAGGTCCGTTCTCAGCCTCCCCTCCTCCAGCCTGACCAGGCCCAGCTCCCATCTCTGGGTGTCTCCTCATCCCAGGGATGCTCCAGACCCCAAATCACCTCCGCGGCCTCCCCTGGCCCCTCCCCAGCAGCCCAGAACTCCCTACACGGCTCCAGATGCGCCTCCCCAGCCCCGACCCGAGGGGCAGCACCCCGGATCCCCCCCTCCCCTCCCCGCCCCACCGCGCACCCCACGCGCCCCACGAGCCCCCCTCGCACCGCCGGCCCTCACCTTCGCGCGGTCGCCGCGCTCCTCCCAGGCGCGGAACACGAGCGCCCCGGAGCCCTCCCGGCGCTCGTTGAGGCACTGCAGGCGCTGGCGGTCGATGCGCAGGTGGAGCGCCCAGGCCGCCCCCGGCTCCGCCGCCCCCTCCCCGCAGCAGCAGCGGCACCGCCCGGGCCCGTGCCCGTGCGCCATGGCCGCGCACCGCGCCTGCGCACCGCCGGGACACGCCCAGGGCACGCCCACACCCCCACCTGGTCACGCCCACAAAACGAAGAGGACACGCCCATCGCCTTTTGCTCCGCCCACATGTTCAGGACACGCCCGTTACCCCGCCCACACAATCAACAGCCCCGCCTATGTGGGCGTGGCCTTGCGCTACACGTGCTGAGTCCTCCCGGTGGTCCCAAAAGGGTCTCGGAAAGGCTCCGAAGGGCTAAACTTGGGGCGTTTTCCAGCCAGGAAGGGAGCAGGAGCAGCATTCCCTTCGGGAATCACGATCCCGGAGTGTCACCCTCCAAGGGGGCCACAGGGACCCGTCAGTTCAACATTCATTGTCAAAGCCAGGAAAGAACGAGCAGCCCAAGGTCCAGCGTTCGGCTTTTATTAAGACATGATTCTCCTCTTTTCATATAACTTATCTAATTAAAATATTCATCTTGGTTACCACAAAAAAAAAAAAAAAAAAAAAAAAAAAGGAACATAGAAAATCGTATTTACAGAGTTCTGGGACCAAAATACAAACGCGAGGCCAAGTCGTTCACCCCCCTCCTCACTCCTGTCAACTCATCCCACTGGGATGGGGCAGCAAAGGGGGAAGAGGCAGCTCTGCTCAGTCCTCTGCGTGTGGCGAAGCACAGAACAACTGCACAAGGCTGGGAACGAGCACTTTAATCCCAGACTTATCCCATGGAAATGACCCTTCTCTGCCCTGTAGTGTCCGAGCAAGAAGAAGGGAAGAATCGGCATCGTCCCCGTGGGCTGCAGAGAGCAGAGTCACTCCAGGCACAGTGTCACCTCCCTGCAACCCCACAGGGCTGAAACACGGGCAAAGCCTGCGGCAAAGGGGCTGCTCTGAGAGGGAAGGAGCATCACCCCAAATCAGCAGCGACTGGGCAACACCCCCACCCGAATGCTGAGCTGGGGTGTTAATTAACTGGCAGTTTTAGCGGCGCCCAAAATTGTTCTTGGGCATCACCCAGCTCCTTTGTTCAAAGCTCCATCGTGTCTGAACACGATGCCAAGCTCCGCTCCCCTCCCCTCTGCCCCTGCCCCAAGTACAGAGGAGAAATAAACGGTAGCACAACGGTCAGCAGAAAGAGAAATATATTGTTATCTAATTAAAAATACAGCAAAAATTAAATACAGCAAAAACGCAGGAGTAAAGGAGCCATTATTTTACAGCACAACACACACTGAAGATGCTGCACGGTAACATTAAAGCATCTGGGACTGTAACAAACTTACAGCACGTGAGAGTCTGAGAACATTTCTCCAAGAACTTCAAACTAAGGAAAGAGCAGAGCAAATAAACAGGAGACAGAATGGTTTTAAAGAAAGGAATCTTTTAAAAGGGAGGGAGGAAAAA